GCTTTCAGCGTTGTGCTTCAGTTGCAGAGGGCGTCGTTCGGACCGGCGGTGAAGACCTCAGGCGAGGATCTCGGGGAAGCTGCGGCATTGCTCCTCAGTGATTGGATGTCGGTCCCAGCACCCTCAGTCTCGGTATGCATTGAACTTGTACTATCTTCAGCTGTGCGGTCGGCATAAGCTTCGAACAAATCTTGGTTGATATAGACGGAATTGAAGTTTCTTCGTTCCATCTACGCTCAAGTGTCAAGTCAGATTAGGGAAGCGGTAGCCGTCAGGAACCAGCCAGTCTGCGTTTGGTAACAAACGTTCCGCTCCATGCACGGCGAGTGTATCTCAGTCTTTCTGCTGTTCTTGTGCATCACCGTAGATCGTTTCAGGGCGTTTCGTTGTACTTTGTAGATTCAAATGCTAGTTATCCATGGATGGCTTTGTGTGGCTCGCGATGACGTAGCCTTTGGGGTCATCCTATCTGCACAGCTTGCGAAACGACACCTGGGCATGTAAGCACCTGGGTAGAGTCAGTGATAGTAGAAGTAGATATTCATGATGACTGGAGGGCGGTGCTGTTATGTATGCATGAGGCAGAGATACGCGGTCGCGCCGTGGTCTCGGCGATGACTTGCCCGGCGAGACGTGCGCAAGCGTGACATGCCGGTATCGAGCTCGTGATCGCGACTACCGCGACCATCACTCCCGCCTCACTGTTCCTGCCCTTTGACACGTCCGACCCAAAAGACGCGACAACAACACACATTCACCGATCGACATCCTTACCAGGGTTCAAACAACCACAATCTGCCAACAAAGCACACACCAGCTGCCAACGAACGCGCCCCTCATCCGCTATCGATAGCCCCGCCGCCTACCTCACGAGAGCTCTCACTGCGAGCTGCACACTACCATACACGACGTAAAGAGAAGCGGAAGACTAGGGAAGAGCAGCATCATTTACAGGTCGCGATATCAGGAACGCCAATATGAGTTCGCCAAAGAGACGTATTGAGACGGATGTATGTGGAGACCTTCACCCCGGTGGTTGCTGAGCAAGGGACAAGAGCTAACCGAGGCCTCTTTCCAACTACACAGGTCATGAAGTATGTTGCGCATGGTTCCAGCTGTAAGACAGAATGCTAACATGCGAACAGGATGTATGTCGACCAGTTTACCGCCTTCTTCGCGCCACGCGCCTGGCAACCATGGTGAATCCAGATCTCTGATACAAGGCAGGCTCATGAGCGACTACGAGGTGACTCTGGTCAACGACAATAGTGAGTAACATGACACCCATTCCTATCAGATACACAGCTAACACCCCGTAGTGTCAGTCCTTCTTACCATCCGAATCCGCATCCGCCAAAACGACGCTGACACACCACAGGCAGGAGTTCTACGTTAGGTTTAAGGGCCCAGTAGAAAGTGAGCTGCACACGCGCCATGTGCATCATCATGTGCTAATGAAGGACAGCGCCATTCGAGGGCGGGCTTTGGAAGATCCATGTCGAGTTGCCTGATCAGTATCCGTATAAGAGCCCTAGCATTGGCTTCGTGAACAGGATATTCCACCCTAATATCGACGAACTGTACGTGCTATCCCTTTGTTTGAGTATTTCAGAGAACACCTGCTTACTTAATAGGTCTGGCTCTGTCTGCCTCGACGTCATCAACCAGACATGGTCACCAATGTACGACATGATCAACATCTTCGAGGTCTTCCTTCCTCAGCTCCTGCGATACCCGAACCCGACCGATCCTCTGAACGGCGAGGCCGCAGCCCTCCTTATGCGCGAACCTAAGAGCTACGAGGCCAAGGTGAAGGGTATGTAGACAAGGGTGAGTCGTGTGAGCCAGGCTAATGTACATCTAGAATACGTCCAGAAGTACGCCAACAAGGACACTGCCGAAGACTCCGACAAAGACGATGGCGATGACGACGAGATGAGCTCTGTCGGCAGCTACGAGTCAGGCGATGAAGATGAAGCGGCGGGCAATATGGAAGACATCTGAGGCAACCCTTCTTCGGGTGCTATCAGTCTCCTTTGTATTGTCCACGACCTTTCTTCTTCACTCTACTTCCATGGCTGGACGTTCACGGCGCTGACATGGCGCATATAAAGGCTAAATTGCTACATATTCCCCTAGCATGTGGCTGCTTTACGGTTTGGTTCTGGGATTGGATCTCTCTGTTGGCGTTTGTGTCTTGCTTTTAAATTCCATAGTAGGCTTGTGACTAGGATCATTTCCTTCGTCACTCTTGTGTAGGATTGGTCGGATGACCTTTTCGATCTTATAAGTTAAGGCCGATGTTAGAGGTACTGTATGCTATTACCTGACATTTCCTCTCACCCCTCCCTTTGCTCAACTCTCATATCAGTCCTTCTCTCATGTCTTTTCGTCTTTCTTACAACTCTATGAACTCACTCTCTCTACTTGTTCGTTGCTGTTTCCGTCAATTCGTACAGCACATGCAATAAGTATCGCACTCAACAGCCGTAACTGGCACATGAACGGATATCTGCATGTGGGACAGTTCCTATATATTGCCACGACCTACTATTCTCTTTATTGGTTATTACACTCCCTTCTTACCGTACCTCGGGAAATGTATATACCATCTGGATGTCCGCCGGCGTCTCACCGCTCCACGCTACCAGTCAACCGACGCTCCTCACGGTGAAGGCGAATCACGTCCCCATCAAGCCCTACCGCTTTCTTCCCCGCTCCTCGTCTTCGTCACCTCGAAACAGTTTTCGCCATGCGGGGGTGCAAAGTTCTCGTCGCCCGGCCCGAGCGCGTCCGCGTCCGTTTGTATATAAACACCCAATCGAGCCATCACAACAACGCCTCGACGCGAACAACAATTTTCCACAGCGCACAACACTTTTACTGCGAGCATCAGCTATATACCAGGTCAGAGTACGGAGTTCCCCTTGCATACCCGGGATCTTCGTGGTTTGTGTGCTAAATTGATAGAGTCAGGTCAAGGTCAAGATGGTGTCTCACAACGAGGCAGCCAGTCGCCACGACAAGCGTGCTAGGGAACGTCCGGCACTCAACACCAACACCGGAGTAGGTGTCACCAGCATTGGAGCTCCAACTAACTCAAGGCGCTCAACTGGGTACCTGGGTCGGAATGGCCGTCATGCCGACAGCAACCGACGCAATTCGGCTCCGGGCACTGGTCTCCCCACTGTACCTCGCCCGCAGAATGATCGTGGTACCGCAAGTTATCAAGGTCTCAACTATCATGGTAACCAAACGCATCCTGTGGTCTACTGCTACTAGCTGCTAACACCAGTACCGGTGCCGTCCGCAACGAGGTCAGCCCTGAGCCTGACGACAACGCGTTCACTACGCCCACCAACCGTCGCATGGTCAAGTCCAGTCCCACTGGCTCGCCTCTCTCGTTCAGTGGCTCGCGCCTGACGCGCCTTCTCCCCGACTCACAGCGCACGCCTTCTCCTATGACACCCCTTGGCCGCGAGCCACCCGCTGCCATGACCATGTCTGCAAGCCCGATTCGCATGTTCAATCGCCCTAAGGGCAAGGGCAAATCGGTCGAAGAGCAGTACGTCTTGCCCAGTCCTCCCGGCTCCAACATCACGGTCCCCAAGCGAGACAGTTCCAGGAAGCGCTCGAACAAGTGGGCCGTCGACAGCGGTGACGACGATGCCGCCAAGCGCAAGCTCTCAAACCCGAACGCGATCGCTGTCGTCACTGGTCGAAAGATCTACAAACCTCGCCAGAAGCCTGTCTCAGAGCGCCCCATCCTCAGGATGCGCGGCGACAGGGAGCAGAGGTACCTGTGAAGAGCTAATCCAAGGGGAAAGGATGACGGGAGTCTCAACTAGACAAGAGCTGTGTGCTGGATCGCTGTTTGCTGGTTTCCAAGATGCGACGCGATCGATCCACAGTAAGTTTTTCTTCCTACATGTCTCTCTTCAGCGTTCTGCCAGTCATTTTTCTACGCATGCGCTTTTCGTCGCTTTTTTCAGTTCTATTCTGGGAGGCGAGCGGGAGTCGGTTGTACGTGCTGGTTATGGCGATGGTGGGATATGGATCAGTTCTGTTGCTTGTGAGTTGCGCTTCTCTTCGGTCAAACGGACAGAATATGGGGATGTTGATGACGGATTATGGGTCTGGATCTGGGGTTCGTGCTTGGATCCCTTACGACTTTTACGACGGCGTTACGGATGGAGGACTGAGATGGATGATACCCTTTTCCTTTTACTGGAGGAGCACTGGTGGATTTCCTAGGTTCGGATATGAGAGGTTCGGTCATACGTAGGCTACCTTGTGTGGCGATCTGCTTGGGCCGAGGGCTCTGAGTAGTATCAATCGAGACTTGAATCTCAAATCTTCTCCGTGGGTGTGATGTATGTGGGAGCGCCTTCCTTACATGGGCTGCCAAGGCACTAACCCAGACACTGACCTTGCGAATTCCGCCTTCCTCTTTCCTACCTCCTTCACTCATCTCAAAACATCGGTACACAGTATTCCCCAAGCGATGCAAGGCCGACAGCAAGGCTCGCAGCGACGCTTCCATCACCCTCGCAGTGCCGCGCACCCACGCGACGATTCGGTGGATGAACCATGCCCAACACCTTCATGCCGTACCCCCACACGTCCTTCACAACTCAATGCCGCATATTCGATATGATAAGCGCAGTGCTCCAAGTCTGCCTCAGTGCGCCGGCAGAGTGGCGAGGTCGCTACCCCGCCTGCCCTGCATGCATATGTCCAAGATGGTGACTGCCATTAGCCGCTGGTTGGCAGAGCCATGCAGGCTCAATAAAGCCAACAGTTCACCGGTCAATATGCACGTTCGAATGGTTCTGTCGAGTTCTCCTCCCTTCTGCGCTGCCGAGTCGTTGCTGCGCCCATCAAAAGACCATGTTGTGTTTGACCATACTGGCGTTTCCTTCAGAATTTGAATTTCCAGTTTTCTGGCTCCCTCTAAGTTGGTTGAAGCAATCTCTCTGAATAACTTTTCGCCTTCAATCATGGCGGAGATCTTTGGTACTATAGCAGCAGCGGTCACCCTGGGCCCGGTCATTCTCCAATTCGGCCGCGTACTCCGTGACGGAGCCAGATCAGTCAAATTTGCGCGACGCGAACTCGAAGAATTAGTCAACGAGATGAGCATATTCACAGCTCTCTCTTTCGAATTCTACAACGCCTGCTCGACCAGAAAGAAACAGACAAAACTTGTCCTGTCAGCCCAGAAACGTTTAGCCGAATGGACTGAAGCAGCTATAGAAGATTTTGAGCAACTATCATACACTGTGGACGCACTGTCTACAGATCCTATCTACCAGCATACCGCTTACCAAGTCGCCCGCGCCCATTACGATTGGTACCGTAGCAAGAGCTATCTAGAATACCTACGTGCCTCACTTAGCGTAGCGAGACAAAGCATGAACGGGTTTACGAATGTCTGCAATATGGAATTGCTAGACGAACAACTTGTGTACCTCAAGTCAGTACTCACTACTCAACAAAGAAAGGAGATGGAACAAGAATTTGGCATGCCGGTGGAGAAGCGGACAAAGGTCATACAAAGCATCAGGTATAGTTGAAGGCCGCATCAGATAGCCAATGATGCTGACTCTAAACAGAGACGGACGCGAACTCCAGCAGGTCGAACTACTTGAAAACCTCAGAGAAGCTTCGATTAAGGTCTCAACATTCGAGAAGCAGAACCAACGTACTAAGCCGGCTGAGCAGACCACACAACTACTGGCATTCTCGGAGTCGGTGACTAAATACGTTGATCGAATTCTACCTCTAGACAAAGATGGCAATAGACCACCTCGTTCATCACCGCGTTCCAGGAAGGGATCTAGCTCACCCCGTCACGACTCATCGCAGACATCTCAATCCACTGCTACTATTCGAACACAATCCACGCAGCCTTCGCACCAGGGTGCGTCAGCGGCAGAATCTCCTCCAACATCTCCTGAGCCCCAGAGCAGCCCGCAAGGATATGTTCCTTCGGAATGGGGGCCGCATATGGATCTATCCATCCTGACTGACAGAATGCATCTCGAGCGATTCAAGCCGCTCAGGCTCACAGAGCCGCTCAAGCCCATCAATGATAGAACGAAAGGGAGAACGGGTCCAGGTCCAGTCACGCAACAGACGCGAAGCAGCAGCAAGACCCCATTATCTCCATTGAACCCACGTCGCGAGATGGGCGAAAGCAACCCCACAGAGCCCAGTACGCAACCTATAAAGGATATCAGCGCAAGGACCCATTTCCAGCCCGTCACTGTGGAAGAGATTGAGGAAGACTCAAAAGATGAGGCTTCCGAAGACGGCGAACCAACACATGAGCAAGCTAGGAAGGCTGGACCGAGCATATGGCAGGCTACTGGTGCGTTTGGGGGAGATATGCCAAGGGGTCTGCGTATACGACGGCAGAGGAGTCGGTCACCTTAGAAATCTTAGTAGGAGATTGTACACACCGCAAGCGTTTGCACAACTACGAGCATGTCGGTCTGGGGCGAGGAATGAGTCAAGGAAGACCTAATGAAAAGAGGCATTCGTGGATGCAAGAACACGTGAATGCTTCAATCAAGACTAATGAGACGATGTATCCAATTCTTCATATCCAGACTGATCCGGATGATCCATTGTTGACCCTATGACCCGTTCTTGACGCTTCCAATACACCAGCGATGTACACGAAGCCATATCCCTATCGTTCCAGCGAGACCAACTCAAACCCAAAGAGGGTGAGTCGAGGTCTCAAACCGAAAGGACTGAAACATGAATACCGAGCCAGATGCCGAGCGACTGGCAGTCTACAAGAAGAGCCGCAATGCCAACGAGAGAAGAAGAGGAGTAACCAAGAAGGTAAGGAAAAGAAAGAACCCGACCGCCATCCGCATACTCAAAACAGAAAAGAAAGAAACGCCCATACCCAATGCCCAATAACAATGCAAGTCCCAATCCAACCAACCCATATCCAAAGAAAACACCCTAATGCATCACCCAACCCTACTTTTCATCAAACAGAATACTCAAAGCCAACCCTCCTATATCTCTCACACACAACAAACTCAATGCACACTAGCCCTCCACCCCTCCAGCGCATTAAAACTAACATCCCCCTCCATACTCTCCTCACCAAACCCCTCCCAAGGAAGTTCATGCGTCTCATCACCACTCTCCTCCGCCCCGTGATCCTGTTGCGCCGCACTACGCCTGAGCTCCACACTCTCATCCTCATCCTCATCGACAAAGCTGCGAATAGTAACTTTCTTCGCCTTCTTCTTTCCACCAGTAGGCACCGATTTCTCCGTGTTTCCTCCATCGTCCTGCTCTTGTTCAGACTGTTGAACAAGGACTTCTTGTGTAAGGTCGTCGAATTCCGCTTCGGTCAACTCATCAGCTTTTTGGCCTTCGAGCACGTCGTGGAGACGGTAGATCTGCATGTCTAGCCATTCGAGACGGCGGTGCAGGTCTTGGATCGAGGCGTTGAGGGCGTCGCGGCGGCGCTTACCCAAGCTGGGGTCGTGCTGCTCGAGGAGGGCGGCTTGGACGGCGAGCTCGGCCCAGAGGTGGACGCGCTCGTCTTGTAGGCCTTTGACGACGAGGGCGAGGGCTTCGCGTGGGGATTGTGCGGGTCGGAGGGTGGCGTCGGGTTCGTCGGCTGTGCGCGTGGAGACAGAGACGAGTTTGGGGACGCGGAGGGGACCCGTGGCGGTGGTGTAGCCTTCGCGGCGGCATACGGTGCAGTTGTCGTTGTCGTGGTCTTTGTTGATGGGCTTGCGGGATGTGGTGGTTTGGTTGGTGGAGCTGAGCTTGATGTCGGGGAGGATGAAGGCGGATGTCATTTCCGTGGGAGCGCTGCGGCGTCTGCGGCTGGTGTTGCTGAGCATGGACGCATCGATGGCTGACTGCTTCGTTTGAGTGGCTTCAGCGTCGGCGTCCATGTTCGACATGTTGCCAGTGTCTTCCTCGAAGTGGGTGTTGGTCGTGCGCTGAGTAGTGTCCTTGAGTGACGATTTGCGCACAAGGGAGGGTCGTCGTTCGCTCTTAGCGGAGGCGACTGACCTGACGGTGTCTTCGCGAGTTTGGCGCTGCGATCGAACGGTATCCTCCCGGACTGGCTCTTCAGTTCTAGCAGATGAAGCACCATGGCGCTCAGCAGCTCGCTGTTCTTCCAGAGATCGTCGAAGCCTAGCAATCTCTCCCTGAGGGAAGAAGCTCAACTCTGTTAGACTCAGGTCGGCAGGAGGCTGAACGGTCGTGGTCTGCCTCGTTAGAGTGGGGTTTCGTGAGATGCGAAGAGTTGCGCGGGGTGCAAGAGACAGATCTGTCGTCGACTCCACATCACTCTCGGCGCGGGCGTGCTTGTCAGCGGGAATAGGTGCCGACACGCTACGCGTTGAGAATCGCGAATGTCCGGTGAACGACTTCCGCGGGCTCTCTTGGTTTGGTACTCCAGCGACCTTACTGTTGCGGACTTCCTGCTGGACACGGTTCCTGATGCGCGTACGTGTGTCTTCGCGGCGATAGCTAGGCTTGCGTTGCAGAGTGTCTTCAAAGATGTGCTCTGTATCCCGAGTTCTCGCAACAGGACCGGTGGTATCGTCAAAGTGCTGCTCGATGTCCCTAGCCTTTCGAGCATTCTCACGCTGGCGAATCTTTCGCTGCAATTCTGCCTCCTTCCTGGCCCACTCCTCGTTCTCCTCATCTTGCTGGGCTTGCAATTCGCGAAGCTCGTTTCGAAGGTTCTCATTGTCCAGACGCATAGCTTCATTGGTACGTTCCTGTGTCATATCCTCGAAGTGTCGAATGGTGTCGTCGCGTCGGCCAACCTGAGCTCGCAAGGAAGCTTCTTGTCGAGACCAGCGCTGAGCCTCCTCTTCGCGCTTGGCCTTGAATTCTGCCAATTGAGCCTTGAGCGACTCGTGGTCGGACTTCAAACGGGCATACTCAGCATGCTCTTGACGCGCTTTTCGCAGTTCCATATCCCTACGAGTCAACTGCTGGGTGTTCTCGTCCTGTTGAGCGCGTACGCGAGCCAATTCAGCATGTAAGTTGGCGTTCTCCCTCTGAGTGGCGTTTGCGGCTTGGTCGAACTGCTGACGAAGCTGAGTTGTCTCTTCGCGGTGGTGTGACTGGTCTTGCTCGAGTTGTCCGCGAAGGTTGTCAATCTCCTGGCGGAGCTGCTCGTTCTCGTGGCTCAATGCGTTCTTCTCGGTCTTCAGTTCTTCGCAGGTCTGGAATGCGACACCCAGCTGGTTCGCCATGTTGTCGCGTTCGGTACTTAGACGCTTCTTCTCGATTTCGAGTACAGCGAATTTGCGGTCGGCGCGATCGAGCTTGGTTCGGAGGGTTTGTACTGTCGCGTCAAGACCTAGCCATTGTCAGTAAAGTCATACTATTCTATGTTCTGCAGCAACTTACGCGTCTTCTCGACCTTCCAGCCGCTCTTTCCGCCAGCATCAGAGTCCTGCGCGCTATCGCTTCGTCGCAGCTTCTCTTGAGCTTGTGTGGTCGCTCTCAGCTCGATCAGCTCCAATTCCTGCTCATCCATCTTCTTGTCCTTCTCCTCACGCTCACGCTCCATGTCTGCAATCTTCTCCTGTAACTGCTGGAGGGCAGCAAAGATGGCCTTCTCTTCGTCGGGGATGGGCGCGCCGTCGATGGGAATATGCGATGGTCGGCGACCACCGTATGGAGGAGCAGCGAAGCGTGATCTTGAGGGTGCGGTCTTGGAAAAGACTGGTGTGCCATCGTCGAAGACGCCAGAGACAAGCTCGGTAAGGTTAGGGATGTCGGGTAGAATAAACGACTGCGCAGTCGCGTTTTGTGCTGTAGCCGGCCTGGAGCGAGAAGTAGCTTTTGATTGCGGCTGGTCGACGTTGCCGTCAGTTTGGAGGGATGTCTGTCGGCTCCTGTTACCCCAGCGCGTGTTCTTGGCCGAGTCCATGGTCAGTGTTGGTGGCCGGTGCTCCATGAATGATGACTCGTCCTCTGATAGCTTCGCGTGCAGCTGTGCGAGAGAAGTGCGCTTGCGGTCTTCCTTTGTAGAGAGGGCGGGGGAGTTGCGCTTGCTTGCAGGACGCGGCGATGCAGTATCGAGGTCGTTGCGTGAGGCGCGTCGGATCGCCGCGTCGCGTCGAAGGCTGCCAGTCTCTGCCTGGTATGACTTGCGCGACCGGTTGGTGGGGGGTGTGATGTCGTAAAGGCTGTTAAACTGAGAGCTCATCTTGCTGGGAGTACCGCGGTTGCTGCGGTTACCGCGCGCCTGCTCGACGGCCATGCTCTCCTCGTCGGATATGCTGTGGTCAAAGTCGCCGAACTCCTTGTTTACCATGGATGTATCCGGCTGGACCTGTTGGGAGCGGAACGGTGCCCAAGTGTTCATCTTCTTGGCTGTTGATCGAATATGCGGGTATGCTGGGAGTGTGTTGGTGTCTTCGCCAATGTTGTGCTGTGTGGACATGAGAATGTCCGGGTCGTCAAAGAACTGAGACGTGTTGGTGCCGAAGCCCGAGCGCTGCGTGGGATTCGAGTCACTCGGTGGTGGTGATGGCGAGGTGATATTCCTGGGGCTGTGGCTGAGGCTGCGTGATAGTTCTCGAATAGCGCGCGCTTTCCCGTCACTTGTGGGAGGAGACGACTGCATGTCGAAATTGTGAGGCTGCGGCGGGCAGCTTGTCGAGGGTCGCGTCGCGTGGTAAACACGTGAATAGGGTATGAGAAAGATACTTCGTAAAGGCTACTGAAGTTATATCATTACCTCCAAGAATAATTCCAGCCCAAGTATGATGGGGTGTCTTGGGGCGCGTTGTAGTGGAAAGTGCGATGAGTGTTGAAGACGAAGCGGGTCAGCGTGTTTACTCCAAAACAAAGCTAACGAACCCTGGCCCCACCCAGCCACCGACGCCCGTCATAACGTGCGCGGCGCGTCGAACAACTCGGATTGAAAGGCACTGCACCCAACTGCGACGTTCAGAAGTATTGTTATGATGATTTCGTTACTTTGTATCAGTGCTATAGAGGTATCATAAATCAGATCTGTCAGAACCATACTCCGTTCCCAAACATCCGTTACATGCCATCCCATGCAACACTTCGACCTGCGCAAAGTCGATTCCATCTCCACAGAACACCCACCATCATCATGTGCGCCAGCAGAAGTATCACTGAGCGGCCTAACCCACCCAAATCGACTGGTCTTCCCCTGATGGATATACCCGCATGCAAAAAGTCGAGTGATGCTATGCACAACAACGGGTACAGGACGCGTGGATCCGCCGCAAACGGCTGACAAGGCGATAGCAAACTATAAGCCTTTGCGCAGAACAACAAAGTCTTGGTAGTGCTAATGGCAATGGGGTTCCTTGACAGTCTGTACAGTCTTGATGATGCACTCGCAGGCGGTGGCGGGGGGAGCATGAGACGCTGCGGTGATGGCGTTC